ATTAACCTTCAGGGTGGATATAGCTTGCTAGCAGCCTCGCACCGATGACCTATCCATGTCATCATTTACCCAGAATGCTTTGTGTGTAAATAAAATGGCTCCGTTCGGTTTAAAATATATTTTTATATTTTTAGTTTAAAAATGATAAAAACTAAACAGCCTACAGTATTTTTACAGTATTTATTTTACAGTTAAATATATATGTTTATCAAATAAAATCTAATTTTATAACTAATCAGGGATCCCTTTAAAGTCTGACACGACGCCTCACCTGGTTATAAACACGTCCTCCCTGGTCAGGCCGTATTTGGGTAGGAGTTCCCTCAGGGCCCGGCCCAGGTCTGCTTCGTTGCGGTAGACCGTGGCGCTGTCGAAAGACCGGTATCCAGCAGCCAGAGCGGCATCCACCGCCCGAAACACTTCCTCATAGCCACACAGCTTGTAGGTCCCTAATCCCAGGACGGGCATCCGATGTCCAGAGTTTAGGACAACGGACGGGGACGAGGACACCTGACTTTCCATGGCACCGGCTTTCTGGTCTGTCCAACTCTATCAACAACAAAAAAAGAAACATTAGGTCATTTTTTCCCCCACAATACAAGTAAAAAGATACAAAGTTCTAGAATTTGTGAAGGAACACATAAAGGTCACTTTGTAAACATTGTGCATTATCTCATGCTTTATTGCAAGATTTTAAATTATCTGTTAAACCTTTTAGTGTGTGCGTTTAATATATGTTAAGGATGACTCTCAGCTACTATCAAGCCAAGTTTTGTGTCCGTGTCTGTAAAGTTCACAGAGTTGGAGCAATTTTTGTGTTGATTAAGGTTGATTAAGCCGGGGGCGGCCATCTTGAAACGGAGTGACTCCAAAAGTTAATCAAATGTAGATGCACAGCCAAAGTTTACTCTCTGAGAGTTTCATTAAAACCTGCCCGATGGTTCGTGAGATATTTGGCTAACAGCCAGGCAAACGACCACGCGCAGCTGTTTTACTTAACAAACTAAGCGTGGTTTCTGAATAAATGTCCGTAATTCACACTAATATGACTCTTCTGTTAAACAACTCAAATCCTGCAGTGAATAAACTCGCTGTTTTTGAAAACTCATGTTCAAAGAAACAAATAAATATCAACAAATAAAAAGAAAACACGTGTTTTGTTGCTGGACAAACCTGAACCAGTGCTCCCAGCTGACGGTCATGTGACACGCAGTTTTGGGCGGACTTTTTTTTGCCGTCACCATAGTGACATCGACTCCCAGCGCCGCTGATTGGAGAAAAGACTCCAGCCAATCAAAGCGGTCCAAGCGACAGGGAGGCGGGAGTAGTAAGTTTTCAGCGAATCCCGAGGCACGTCGGATGGTTGATTGACAGGCAGGTTATTAACTGTTGAAGTCCTGTCGTGGTGGAAACTCAGCGGAGTTGGACGACGAGAAATTGTGGTCGCCATTTTCAGATAACGTTACGGTAATTTTGGAACAGCGGGAGAAAGAAAAACAAATGTATTTAGCTTTCTGCCACTTAGTTAAAACATATAGTCTTTAAAAAGAAATTGTAATGTTTTAACTAAAAGTTAATCGCAAATGATTTGCTTAAAAATTCCTTCAACTTACAGGGCGTAACGTTAGCAGAGAAGTAACTAAGTACAAATAATTTGTTGCTGTACTTAAGTAGAAATTTTGGTTAAATATACTTTACTTGAGTAATTATTTTGTAACCTACTTTTTACTTATTACATTTTCACACAATTATCTGTACTTACTCGTTACATAAAAAAAGTCAAGTAGAAAGTCGTTACTCTTATTTCATTCTGGTTCATTTAAAAAGTACTATCCTGATAAATTTTGCCTCCAGGATAAAGTTAATTTAATTGTGATAGGAAGATAAGTATAAATACTGTATATACCATTTTGACACTATTGTACACATCACAGCTGCATGCCTTTAAAAAGATTAATTTTTGTAAAAGTCACCTCTCAGGTCATGTTGGTAATCTAACCACTCATTTTTACTCAATACTTTTAATACTTAAGTATATTTTATGTCAGAAATTTACTTTTGATACTTAAATACAAAATAAATCAGATACTTTAAGACTTTTCCTCAAGTGATATTTTTAGGGTAGACTTTAACTTTTACCAAAGTAATTTATGATAAGATACTTGTACTTTTACTCAAGTATCATTATGAGGTACTTTATACAACACTGAACTTTAGGTCTACCACTTATTATTATAAGTTAAGGTAAGTTATGTAAAGTAAGTAAAAGTTATGTTAAGTAAGGTTATGCTCTTTGACTATTTATTTATTGACTTGTTTATTTTTGTAAAACCATTGAAGATGCTTTTGCTGTGATTTACTTAACTTTTATTTGTATGTACTTTGCACATTTTCTGTTTCATGTTAGTTCAACAATTAAGAAAAGGCTTACTTTCCCCCCATTTTTCCCATAATTAACACATTTTTGACATTTTTAGGATGTATTATTATTATACGACATACTTAAATTTTAAAATTTCCAAAAGTATGTATTTATAGGGGTGTGGATAATTTTTTAATCCCGCACCAATATTAAATCTGACAGAGGATTCCAAAAGAACATTTCAACCATACAAAAATAACACCAAAATCATGTGATTATCTCATGTATGAGGGGAGTTATTGATGTTTGTTTAGGTAAAATCAGCTCATGTTTTCTTGCTGCAGTTCACAGCAGAACCAGTGGGGCCTTTGTGACCATTTCACTTTATTCTTATCTACAGCGGGTAAAATAAGTATTGAACACGTCACCATTTTTCTCAGTAAATATATTACTAGAGGTGCTAATGACATGAAATTT